CACTATGTGATCAACAAAGGTAATCAACCACGATCACATTAGTATTTCAGGTTAGAAACGAAGCCAGGATTGAATACCACTGATCTAACAGATAAAAACTGATCTGATATTTGAGTGTAATGTTGACTAACCTCTAATAAAACATTGAACTGAATTGATCAGTTGAAAGATTTTATTGTTCTAAGTGAAAAATAGTTTACCATCTTTTCTACAAGCTTCTATAATCATAAGAAATGTATTTATTATTATTAAATTGCAAAAACTTATCTAAAAATTAAAAATGCTCTTAACAGTGTCTTAAAGTGTATTTTGCTTTAATTCAGGATGTTTACTAACATAAAGCAAAAGAAATGGATATGTTGCATCTTATAATTTGATTTTAAAGGTACATTTCCATATTCCATTCGCAAACTGATAAAAAAAAAAATTAACTTGAAGCCCAGCCGATCACCTTAAAGATTTTTGCATTTTGTATTCTCAGCACAGGGGACACAACTGGGGCACAGGCCCCTTTTGGCCTGTCTAGAACTGCCCATGTGTGTAGAGTAGGATGCCAAGATTTAGCATTTCTAAAACATATTCTATAGTTTAAAGAGTTACTTTATCGTATACCTAAAACTATATATTGCATGTTGAGACACTGCGTATTGCCTCAAAATATTAATCAACCTTTAACTTTTCAACCTTTTATTAAATCAAAACAAGTATCAATTAATTATATTGGAATTTTATTTGAATTCCTCCTCCATTCCTCTTGTACCCCTACATATAAATACCAGAGCAAACAAGAGGCCTATAGAAACTGGTGGGAACAAGGAGGAGCTAGAGAGCTCAACTGCTTAGGTGGGATAATCTGTCAGTAAGGAAACTATTATGCATATACATTTTAAAGAAAACTGGAACACTTTCGTTTTAAGAAAGCCAAAAGTCCAGAAGGCATGAAGGGGATGCAGCAATCATGTGAAGGGAGGAGCTCTAGAGAGATAATAGCTTAGGATAAACAGAGTGTTTAAGATAAATCTTGTTGAAACTCCTTAAAGCATGTACCTAACTGCAACCTAAACCTCCTTTGACAGAACAGTTGCATAACAAGGATCAAGAACAATGTTCACCTAAAAGATTTTTTTTCAAAGATGAGAAGGTTCATAGAAACATGCAGAAACAGCCTGTCAATCAAAGGGAAAATAAAACAAAGAGTCACCTTGCAGCACTCAGAGGGTGCTGCTGTAGGATGACTCATATGTCCATTAGTAAAGAGTGACTCATGATGTAATGCTGTTAGGTGGACAAAACAAACACAAGAGGTTGTATCATCTAACAGTGACTCACTAAACTGTGTGTGATAGCACTGCTTTTTTCCCTCCTTCATTTTATGGTGTGCTTTCTACTGAAACCTGTTTAGAAGATGGTTATCGCGAGATAAGAAGTTAAAATTTGTTACTGGGATATTTCAGACAAATTGTCTTGCACTGATCATTTTTAATGCATGCATTAAAATGCAGAATCTAACCATTAACCAAATAAAGTTAAAACTTTTCACAAAAGGTACACATTAAAGAGCAACCAAAACAAGTGAGGACGGCACTGTATTCTTACAGCATTATAGAATAGAAAGCAAAAGGTTAAAGGTGAGAAATTAACTATTTTTAGTCATTTATTAAAGTATTAAAAGTGCTACATTAATAATCTCTTTCCTCAGTATTCTTCACATAATCCCCTATTATTTCAATCTGAAAAAAAGTTGAGATTACTGCAAATTTGTAAGAAGTAGAAAGCTAAGAAATCACAGGTATTTAGTCTGGATATGTTGTTGATCCACTTTTGGCAGCAATTACAAGCTCTAGTATTTTTGAATAAGATGCATGTATGTCTTTAAGCAATTTCCTTCACTGCAATATATTTTAAGATCCATCAGTTTCTGTTGTCATTTTCTGACAGTTTCATGGTAGTGCTGACACTACCACTCAGTATACGCTGAGCAAATGAAAGTTAAAGGGCTATATTTAGACCAATAATAATCAGAAGCAGAAACTTCTTCCTTCTGGTTCAGGAGCTTCACATTTAATAGAAATTACTGTAAAGAAAACAACATGCAGCCGACTAGTTACTGTGTATTCAAAAAGGGTTTAATAAACATTTTAAAAAATAAACTTTGTGTCATTCTGCAGTTAACAATGTATAACCGGTAGAGGCAGCTTCCTATTAAAGAAACAATAATAAAAAAACTGCAGTGAAAAAGTTAAAACACAAGTTCAATGATTCTTTGGCTGAGATATCAGGAACAAGACATAAATGTGTGTCATCAAATCGAAGCAGCTTCCACTTGCATAGAAAACAATAAAACACACAGATGGAATCCTTTGCTGAAACCAAACTTATTCCGGAGGTAAATGTTTAGAGCAATGCTCCTGCAGCTTTAGTGACCTTTCTGTTGCCAAAGCTTTCCTGTAAGCCTCTCAATAATATCCAAAGACCATAGGTACATTTATAAAACATTTTTAGTCTTAGACTCTGGTTTAGTCATCAACTATGAGAGCTTTAGTGGGACAAAAAAAGTGCAGAAACGTCCTCACCATGCACACAGTGATAGAAGACATGGCCTACAAGGGTTAAACTTTACTGGCTAAAGTCACAGTTGTTTGGGGTCAGAAAAATCAATAATCAATTCTTGCTATCTATAACTAAGAAGAGATAAATTCAGAATATTCTGCATCAGGACATCTGTGAGACTGAAGGCTTCCTCCTCCACCCTTTCCACATCTTCATCAGTTTTTTGGAGCTGTAAGACACGGTCTTCCATAAGCCTGAAAAGACCAAGACACAAGAACAAATCTCCTTTAAATGTCCTTTAGTGCCCTGTCACACCTTGCAGATTTACCCAGCGTATGCCTGACATCCCAGAATCTCCTAAAACGTTGGCATACGCTGAACTTTCTATGTATTTTTTTTATTTTGGGCGTATACATAGTGCATTCATAACAAGTCCAGAACTTATGTACGACAACCTAACTTATGCATTAGGCACGGCAATGTAATGCCCATGAAATGATGCACAAGCCAGTGTCCTGAGGGGGGCAGTGATCAGCTCGTTCTGCATACAATGATGTCTTTGATCGCATTATTAACCTAGCTGCTGTTTACCGCCTGCCAAAAAAAGAAAGAATAAAGAAAAAGAAAGACAGAAGGTTTGCAGTTGCAGCAGATTCATGATCATGTCTGCTAGCTAGTTTGTTGGTCATGTTCGTGGGCGTGAACTCAGGGAGGATTCATCACACTCAGCTTCACAATGACCCTATGATGGGGATGCAGCCTGGAGGAGAACTGCTAGTTTCCTCCTGTGAACCCTCTTTTATACCAAAACGCTGCCAATACACCATTAAACAGTAGCTGCAAGTTAGAAACACGTTCAGCAGTCGGTCTGGAACATGTCAAATAAGTTGATCTGCATTGGATATAAGTTCTTCATAAGTTACGCACAAGTTACGCATAAGTTATGCACAAGTTATGCACAAGTTATGCACAAGTTATGCACAAGTTATGCACAAGTTATGCACAAGTTATGCACAAGTTACTCATAGGTTTTGGATAAGCTAGACGCCACACCTTATGAGTAACTGACACTTAACGTAAGTCAACGATGAGGTCACTTACCTGTAACTTATGGCCCACGTGTGAGCATACGATGGCATACGTCAAGGCGTATTTGTCGTATGTCGACGTGTGCCAACCCGCTCATAACTTATACAAAACTGACCCATAACTTATCCAACGTATGCCAGTGTTATTGCCAGATTCCCATACGTCAGGCATACACTGATCTAAATCGCCAAGGTGTGACAGGGGCTTTAAGACCGTAAGGAAATGAAAACATACAATCTGCCTAAAAAAAGGTTGAATAAATAGTAGAAAGTCTGAAAAGAACTGTTAAAAGAAAAATTTACATAAAAAAACTCAAAAAAAATTTCCTTTCAAACTTAATAGAGCTTCTAGTTGTAGATTTTTTTTAAATGATTTAAAAATCGATTCATTTATCAAAACTGAAGAAATATTTTCTCTTTTATTCGAAAATTCTAAGATTATAACGAATAGAAGTTCTTACCAGCTGTAGCAATGCCTTTGATGCTCTGCGTTATGCTGGAGGTTTTTACAATAGATGAGATAGCTGTGGAGGAGAAATACCAGGACATCTCAGTCATCTTTGTTTATAAAGTAGAAAAAATGTTTCTTCATTGGTCTCAGCATGAAGTGACCATTTCCTGAAGTTATTGTCTTAAAAAAGGTTTTTGGATAAAAAAAAACAAAACAAACATATTTCTTCTATGAATCTTCTTACTGAAGCAGATTTTAAACCAGACCTTAATCCTTTGGTCACATTTTACACATACCTTGTTGCACCACAGCTCCACAGTCAGGATCCTGAGCAACCTGCAGCAGGATCTCCTCCACATCCCGGTTTTTCCCTGGAGGATCCACCAGCTTTGTGATCCTTTGCTGAAGGGTTCGAGGCAGCGCCATCAGCTGGATGAACTGGCCTTCAGGACTTTTGTCCACCTAAAGAAAACATATCAGAATGAAATCAGAATGAAAATCCTCCGGAATAATAAAAAATAATATATATATGAACTGAGAAACAGGTTTTGGCCAATGATGTAGGACATGCAGTTACATTTTAATATTTAAAAACTTTAATTTCTCCCCACATACCAAGAGCTAGATTTTGTATTTACAGTTTATTTTTGTTTCTAAGAAGGTTTGCTGTTACCTTGATTCCAATTTACTTTTTTCTTTGTTGCCGTTTTCCTAGTTTCAAGGTGTTAAAATAGGAAAGGCAGATTAAGCTAAAAGGAAAAACAGCCAAGTACAGCAGCATGGCCTCTTGACAATCAAAAGTTCTTGTTTTTCTATTCCTAACATTAGCAGGGTTTATAAAGGAATGAGTAACTCTGATTTAATGCTTTTTAATGGTCTTGTAATGCTCTTAGAAATAATTTTAATGCCATCAACAAGTACCCATGACCCTCATTCATTCATATATATATATATATATATATATATATATATATATATATATATATATATATATATATTGGAGCTTCTTTTCCAAACATTTTTTAAATAACGCATTTTAAATGCCACGATAATGACATTCAATGAATTTTAATGCAAATTTCAGGCCTTAATTTAATGATTTTAATGATTTTTAATGACCCGCAGAAACCGTGATAAGGAAAACAACCTTATTTTCTGTTACAGCCAGTTAAAGGCAATGTGTAAATATGCAACTAATTGTTCGTTTCTGTGCTAAACAAGTAACTGACATTTTTTCATCGGTGCATCAGTTTATGCTTGATGACAGAAGAACTTGTCTGCCTTTGGGCAAAACATCAAAAGCTGGTTTTATGGTGGAAAACTAGTATTTTACCCAGAGATGCATTAGTGTATTGTTATTCATTAACATTTTACTGTGGAGTATTAGGGCTGCAACTTACAAATATTTCAGCAATAAGTTTTTTCAATGAATCGATTAATCATCGGATAACCAACGTTTTCTTAAAGAAGATTAAAAAAATATAAAAGAGTATATAAATAAATTAAACGAGGTGAAATCAAAATGTTTCCAATTGAGAAGTTCTGGATTGAACATATTAGCAGATTAAGTTTTTTGTTTTGTTTTCTTATCTTAAATGCAAAATGTTTATATATATATTTTTTTTTTTTACAATTTTGATATAATTGCTGCTAAAGGTGGGTCGTTCTGTCAGCTTAAGACATATTTTAGAGTCTCTATACTCCTGTTAACAACTAATCAGTTACTAAATTAGTTGATGATTATTTCAATAACTGATTAATCCAATTACTTGTTTCAGCCCTATTAGGTATGCTTTAATGTAATCCTAAAATGTTTGCAGTGTTGGTAAATTTCATCACTCTTTATCTGCACATTCTACATCAAGAGCATTCCCTGGGAAAAACAATAACAGTAACTGTGAAATGCAGCAATCACTGAGCAACACCTAGTCCCCCAGATTAAATAGTTGAATATATTTATGTTTATATTTAATAAATGCTTGAAAACCTTGGTTTACACATTAAATGATCCGTCGATTCAAACGTTTCATTTTAGATTTTTTAATTTGTAATTGATTTATATTAACATCATAGGTGAAATAGTTTGGGCCCTCTGGTTAATCAAAAAAAGAATAAAACAAATTAATGGGATAGAAACATTTCAGAAGTCCTGTACTGATGCATGCATGGAACAATGAGTTTTTTCAGTTACTCCATTAGTCTGCTGTGTTGATAATATCTTGAACAACTCATCTGACTGTTCCAGTTAAATACAGGTTAAAGCAGACAAACTTGTTCCTCTGTGCCTTTTTGCTGAACACACTCTACAACCTTTTTCTGCTTTTTCATTGGCCATTTGCTTTGCTGCATATTTTGATGAAACAAGTCATTAAACCTACTAGTCAGGAATATGGCAACTATTGATTTTTGTTATTTTTCACATTTGTAAGGTGCAACAGATAAAAGGTGTTCCTCTGTAAAAAAAACGTTTTGCAGAAAATGTTCACTGCAAACCTCATTATACTCAGAAGCAATTATGTTTTCTGTTATAACAGCAGGGATTCTCTACTGGAAAAATAATCATTAAACGTGACATATTTCAGGTCTTGCATGCATAACAGCAATAATAATAATTACATAAGCTCACATAACCGTCACTTTTGAGTCGTATTACATTAACTGACTTTTAAAACTGGGCGTCAAAGAAACAAAGAGGCGTTATTAGCATCAACATGATACTGCAGGATTTAGTGACTCATTTCAATAAAAAAAAAAAAAAGATGATCAAGATCTCAAAGTGAAATTAGTAATATATTTCAACAAGATGTAACCTGTAAAGTTTTCAGAGATCTTAGAGAAACCAAATTAAATTTTTAAATCTCATGCCTCATTTTCACTAAATCTATGAGTCTCTAAAGACATTCCTTAGGGGCTGCAGGTTTTAAAAGTTACCCTGCTTTAACACACTTGATTCTGTTAACCAGCCATCAATGGAAATCAGGTGTGTCTGATGTCTAACATACCTAAAATGTACAGGACCCGGCCCTGACGACCATGATCTAAACCCTGTTTATATAATCAACACATTAGCTAATAGTTATAGCTTTGTGGGACCATACAGCTGAGACATACTGTATTCCAGACACCTTAATATAGTTCATGCAAAAACGTTTTACTAGTTAAGTTTTCTTCTACAGATCTCTCCTGTAAATCACTCAGAGACATTTTTTTTTTTTTGCTGCAAATATCTGACACACCATAAAAAAAAGATAAACAGCAGTCTCAGACTATTAAACGCTCCTATGCCCTTATGAGACACATTGTTCCAAGGTGCCTGGAGCTGGAGACTGTTTCTCTTTGTGTAACAGGGATTGGCAGCAGCAGGTGGAGAGCAAACCAGGAAACTTGAAAGAATATCTATTCAGAGCTGCACAACACTGAGTCAGATAAGTCTTACAGTGCATAAGGAATACATATGGATAAGTTAAGACTTAATAACAAAAAAACGAATAAAAAAAATAAAAAATAAAAGCAGCCTAAGCTTGTGTGAACAAAATACTACATTGAATTTTGACCATCATGGATTTTTGATATTTCACAAACAAGTAAGGCATGAAGAGCATGAATCAAAGAAGTCAAGAGGCTCATATAAACTCTAGAGGTGCAGCAGAAATTCATACATCTGATGGAAGAATCTGTCAGTGACTCATCACTAAAAGCTGAGTGGCAAAAGTTGTAACTCACAGCTTATCTTTGTAAACACACCATCCCTAATGTGGTAAATGGTGCTCGGCACTTTCACTCTATGGGAATACTTTTTTTTGAACGAGTTTAACATTTCCATACATTTTGGAAAAAGGGTGCTTTGCTTTTTTGTTTGCCGTACCCTACCTCAAGTTTTCCTTGTGGAGGTTTGTAGACCACCTGAGGGCAGTCCCGAAGGATGTTGCTGTAAAGAATCCTAAAGTGCTGAATGTTGTCTCTGACGATATTGGCCACCTTGGATTTGTCCTCTCCAATCACCATCCGAAAATCACCTTCAAAGACAAAAACAACATCTTATCTCACAAAACAGGACTTTATAAAGAAACGCCAATGTCAGTCATATCTTGTTAATTTTATAGGCGTCTATGCTGCAAAATCCATACAACTCAAAGTATATCGGTAAATTTTTATGAAAACCTGAAAGCATAGACATTTTTGTTATTTTAAATAAACTTAATATATAATATACTGACCTCTATCCATATTAAATTTTCTGTAATTATTAAACAACTCTGGATAAAAGCTTCTTAAGTCTGAAGTTGGCCAAGAAGCTGAAATGTAGTTACAAACCAGCATAAGAAAGCCCAGCAATCTGCAGGAAAAGGTCCTCCTCTGAGAAGCTCTCTGGCAGCATGAGGAAGGAGGCCGTTACCGCGCTCTTCAGATTGGATACCAGAGCAGCACGAAGCTTCCCATTCTCACTCTGCAACAACATCCTCACCTGCAATGGAGAAAGTAGAAAATAAGCATGTTAATGCAGTTTATTCAGTTAACACTTTTTCTATGTAAAAGAAAACAAAGCAAAAGTAGTAAATAAAATCTTTGCTGACCGGCTTGTGAAGACGTCCAGCAACATACAAAGTCTTCCAGTGCATGAGGTCATCAATCAGTGAGTCTATACTAATCACTCCATATTTAATCATCTGATAAAAAGAAAAGAATTGAATAAACAGTTGGAATAAGTAATCTTTTTTAAAACTCGGTCAGATCTGCAAAAAAACAAAACAACATAAGTTATACCCTTCCATCAACCGGCACCAGTGTGTTGTAGTAAACTGAAGCTCCGTAGTCATTTTGTATGGAGCTGATCTTATTTGGCCCCAGCAGCTTGAGGATGGAGTAGTGTTTACGATTCTGGAGCAGATTCATGGTGTGCCACGTAACCGGGTCGTCCACCGCAAACACAAAGTCCAGCATATTCCTCTGTATACATCAGAGTACAAGACAATATCAATTTATGTCACACATGTTTTATGCAGTGAATCTGATAACACTGATTAATTACAGTTTTCTGAGTAAAAACTAGAAAAACCAAGAGAGCACGTTTAAAGTTGAACTGTTGAATCTTGAAGAATGTTGAACAGTTGAAACTCTAATCAAGACTCTGCATCACCCTGGAAAACATCTCATTTTCACAACCAACGTGGCTGATTTATTTTCATAATCCCTTTAAATTGAGCACAACTCAATGTTCTACTGCATGTTGCACCACACACACATGTGTGTGTACCTGTCTAGTTGATAGTCAGTTTCACTATCAAATTGAGTACCAGGTGTTGCAAAGTGAGGACATTTGCTGGTCCCCACATGCTATTTTGCTAATAGTTAGGTTTAGGGCTAAGGTGTCAATGGGTTAGGGTTTGGGTGAGGTATGCATTGGTAATGGTTAAGTTTAGGGTTAGTTTTAGGGTTAGGGCATAGAAAGGGTTGAAAATGACAGAAAATCAATGGAAGTCAATGGGAATCAACACATGGTCCTCAGAACGAGTATGTCTGTGTGTGTGTTTACTACTACTACTTACTACTACTATATAACTAAATTTCAAGTATTTATTAATAATGATTTTTGGCTTGCAAATATCAATAAAATATAACATACAACCAATAAATAAAATAAAAAGTAAAAAATAAAGAAATGTTACAGCCTACACAACTGTAAGAAAGCAGTCCAGCAACCACTGGCAATAGTGGAAGAAAGAATTCTTGTGGACAGTTTAATACAAGCAACAGCAACAACCACAGCCATGAGAAAAGAGTAAAGGAAAAAAAAAACACCAAATAGTTTTGTGGACTGCTGCTGATGAGCAGATAAACATCAATGCCCTTTATTTTAAAAGAGCTGCAGAATGACTCTTTCCCTGATCAGATTTATCCACTTCAACCAAGCTTCCTCCACTTTCAACTGCTTGCTTCAGAAACTCTTACCTCCATTTGACCTTGGCTGGTTCCATGTTGTTTGAAAACGCCAGATCCGTACGCGAAAGCTAAACTGATGTCCTGCGGAAACTGTGACACGATCCTTCGGTAGAACACGCCGGTGTTTTGCAAGGCTGGGAGACTCATTCTGCTGAAACAAGCTGCTGCAAGGCTGCAGCTTGAAGAGCTGCTTTAAGGGTGAGAGAACCGAACAAATAAAGTTTAAAAACACACTACCACCTGAGGAAAGTAAGACGTACATCTCACACGGCGGGAATTTAATGTGGCGTAAAATAAAAAGCAATGCGTACCTCTGTCTAGCGGTTTATTTTAATAAACTCCATCCATACGGTCCTTGGACAGCTGTGCGTTTGTCCGTCAACTAATATGTGCGTCACAGATTCCGCTGCGGTCAAAGGGATGATGGGAAATGTAGTAGTTCGTGCCCTGAAATACTTTAAAAAGGGAAATAACCTGTAATGTAGTGTGAATTTTAGTTTTTTGATATTTAGAATAATGTTCCGAATGGAAATATCCTTAGTGAGTTGACTAGAATAAATGATATAATAATAATAAAAAAAGAAAAATACATAAATAGCAAACTCATATTTTTTTGACCAGCAGAGGTCGCTGTCTGTGAAGTTTAGGGATCTGGTTTGTGTTTTGGGTTTTTTTTTTTTTTTGGGCCACCTGTTTGCTCTTTAGTTTGTTTGTCTATATAATAAGTCTGCTTAAAGCAAATATTCTCTTTGAGTTTTCTGACCAAGAATAATAATAAAAAAAATTTAATGAATACAGTCAAAATAGTACAGAAGAATTAAACAGTATTTACTCCTTTGTATTAGTTTCATTAGGCCCAAAACATTGAAAAGAGGAAATTTAATCATTCTGACGACCTGATTTACTGTAGAACAGTTAGTGTAATCTTTTACTGCAAAAATCAAAATGTAGGTTTAACAGCAATGTACATAGAACAATCTTAAATGTTATTCAGAACTGCAAAACAAAATATTTTAGCCAACTAAATGCCTAACAACCTAATTCCTTTTGTTCTAACAATTTTTATATCTAAATTGCAAAAACTATCCAGAAAGGTGACTATACGTTTCTTCACATCCACAGTGAAGGCATCCCTTACAATTGAATGTTAGTATTGTAATTTTTTTTTTTTATTGTTATAACAAAAGTTAGAAAATTAAACACATAAATTAGACCAACAAAGATGTGAACAAAATGCATATAAATGAAAAACACTATGAAAGGGAAATGATGCAATCACAGAGCAGCAAACACAGAGCAGACAAAGGGAATACCACATGCGATTGTAATATTCTCAGAATGTTAATTATATACATGCTGAATATAAATCATCAGTGTAATATTCAGTAATAGAAATGTGTCAAAAGTCTGTGGTTATAGAAGAATGTCTGATAAGTCCTCAGCAATGATGCAGTGTTAATTTCGTTTGGCCCACTTCTCACATTTAATTGGATGAATTAATATTAAATGCAGATTTCTGACTGCTGAATATATGTCTATGACTTATAACTGGATTGTCACGAGCGTGAAAATCATTAACAAACAACAAACTGCCTATTTTGCACACATGAATACTGATAAGGTCATTGAATAATGCCTATAGATACCATATCTAAGCATTGTTGGGGCACATGGTTTCTTGAAATAGAGCAGATGGAAAAAAAAACCCTGTATATTCTTTTTTTGTTTTTTTATTGATCTTGATTCTCTCTAAGTCAGGTTTGATTGTCTTCTGTGAAATGTACAGGTTCTTAGTCTTTACAAAATGTTAATATACATTTTTTTCCCCTGAATTCTAATACAATGTATAAAAAGTCATATAACCTTCTTTTTTTAGTGTTACATTGAATAATACTATCTTCTTTGCGGTTCACAACTGGCCTAATAAGTGTATAAAACCATACTCGTTACGTTCTTTATCTAATCAAGGACTATATTTTTCTGATGCACATCATCCTCTGCACTGTTGCTAATTTTCACATGTTTTGTGCATCAGTCGTTTGATCTGCACAGATGTTAATGACTACCGGTACTTACATAGTGTTTTACTGGCCAATAAAGTGTCTTTTTTTCCCACACTCGTTTATTGCACAGTTGTTCCATCCGTCTGTTCTGTTCTGGTAACTGGCTTCTACTTAATTTTTTTTCTTTTCTTGTGACTAAAATAAATTTTCGATTTCACAAGAATTAGAAATTCCCAACATTTCTTTCTTTCTTAGATCTGTTTTTTCCTTTTGCTGTTAAATATAACTTTAAAATGTTTTTGTATTTTTTTTTTCTTGCTTGTACCTGTAAGCTTTCCTATGCATAGTTCTTTTAGCCACTGTCACTATTCCATTCTATACTTTAAAAATACTCTTCTGCCTTTAGTCCTGTTTGATGTAAAAATGAAATAAATACATGTTCTAAAATGTATAAACATAGTGATCTCATAGTGAATTAGTTTTAAGCATGCGGTTTTAAGCTGATATTTACCTTGGAAAATGCAGTATTTCTACAGATATTAAGCTAAGTCTTAAAGTCACATATTTGAGTTTATGTTGGTTTCATGTAAAGTTATTAAACAGAGAGAGGATATGCATGTATGTGGGCATATGAGTGTGTATCTACCAAAGAAAACTTCTATACATCTTTAAATATCTGTTAAGTAAGGGTACCCAGGGTTTCAATGATTACTTGAAATCAATTCCAGATTTTATGATGAACTGCAATCTGTGAAGCCTGGTCTTCATGTTGGAGCAGCAGAAACATCCATGACATATTTCCATTATTTGGAAATCACACAAGTCAAAAAGCTACTCAAATATCATTAGCTATGAATACACAAAATTGAAGTTAATAGTTATCAATAATAACATAGTATGATATAAAAGGTAAGAACAAATATGTGTGCAGCATACAAAATAAAGAGGAGAAGCTTTTCACTTTTATGCTGCCGTTACCATGGTAATGGTCACGGCTTTCCATGCCCAGTGTTGCAGCATCAAAAGAATGTGCAACATTAACCTCACAACAGACTCCTGTGCTCTGAAAGGAAAGAAAGAACATAACAGTATGGTTCTTCAAAATGAATTTCTACAACATTGTGAAAGCTGTTTAAACCACACGTTGGTTTGTGTATATTTCTTCAGCTCGTGGACAGAAGATGGAAGTGCTCCAGACCCAACCTTGGTAGAAAGCTGCTTTTTTCCAATTAATGTGCAATATGTATAGTTAATTCATCATAAAAAGCTCAAACCTAGGTACAATCAAACTTGTTTTCATCAGTGATTGGTTACACAGTTTGACTAAAGACCTGTATTGGCAAAAAAAGTTACATCAAAATATATAACATGTTATATGTTATAATATATGTTATATGTTATAATATATG